GACTGGATCTTGGTAGTCTAATAATAATATTGTGCGAACTTTGTATATTTTTTCTAAACTCAGTAAACTGCACGTGCCAATTTTTTTGTCGGTTTAAAACACAGCTCTTTTTTGAAACAGTAAATTTACATAGTTAAATCCATAATCGAGATTAATTTTTTTTTTAATTTTTAGTCTTAGCGGCAATTTGTAGTCCCGATTTTCTTCTTCTGCGTATTTCTCGAGCCCTTTACCACCCGGCATTCCTTTGTGATGATTTATCGGGGAAGATCATCGAGAGCGCGCCGTATGTGCATCGGCCTTAAGCCGTTCGGTCTGCCTCAACGAAAGAAATACAGCGGTAATAAAATTTCTGCCGGCCCGTGGAATCGCGCGAGGAAAGGGTCGACGGCAGAGTAGGGAAGGCAAGGGCGACGACCCCGAGCCGATCTTTATCCAATTACACACAAACGTAACTCCCACCTGCGTGGGTGGGGGATTCCCCCTTCGCCGACGTGTCATGTAAATCCGCGGCTCGCGGCAATATTTAACGCCCGCTCGGGGTACACACGCTCGTTAAGGTGTGCCCCTATCGCGCCGCGTATCTCCCTTTCATCTCCCGAGTACTCGCTCGGAGTACTCGCGATTCCTCCCGGTCGATGAATCGCGAACGAAATTCCATCGCGAATTCCTCCTCGTTCGTGTCCCCCCCCCCCCCCCCCCCGTCCGGAGAGTTCCATCGGAGAAAGTTTGAGGGGCCCCGGGGTTCAAGGAAGTCAAGGATGTAGAAGTCTTAACATTCTTAGACGTCGCGGAGGTCTCGGCGTTCCTCAGATGGATCTTATAAATCCTGAGATCTTAAATCTCTCGAAAGTTCGAAGGCCAAGGAATTCGTACGGGAAGGCATCGCGAAGTCTCGAAAGACCAAGTCAGATCCAAGAATATCCTAATACAAAAAACAATTCCAGGAATTAATGCTTACGAAGAAAAGATTTATTCCAAATTTCTCGAAGAGTCGGCAAAATGAACGATATGACCAACTTGCTTGCTTGCTCCCCACGATATATATTTCTGAAAAATCTAAAAATAGACTTAATCTCTCGATTAAGCCAATCGGTCCCGTTTGCGTTTCAGTCGCCCCAAGTGCGTGCAAGGCCGAAGGGAAGAGGGTTCAACGTCCGTATCTGGATCATGCCGAAATCGTGCCGAATCTGACACCGCGGTCGGTCGTCGGTCGGCACGCCGTACCCCCGGTCGGGAAGAAGCGGCGCGGCTTCCGGTGCCGCACTCGTAGCAGTGGGATATGAAGGTGAGGCGGGAAGGGGGTTCACAGTTCGTCGGAGCGGCTAACGATCGTCGGTGCCGATCGTGGACGACGGATCGGCGAGGGACCGTCGTCGCCGTCGTCGTCGTGCGACGATGAGCGGGAACGATTCGAGCGCGACGGCGACGCTGACACCGACGAGCGTCGCCGTCGTCCCCGCGGTCATTTCCGTCGCGGATGAGGAGGAGGAGGAGGACCCGACGACGGCGGCCTTGACCCTCGATTGCGTCGAGTCCGGCGCCGACATGGACCTGGTGAACGGACCGAATCCCTGGCTTCCGGCCTACGGCTTCCAGCTGCAGCATCACTCCCAGTTTCAGCCGGCGCACTTGGAGGATCTACGGGCTAATGGTTCGTACATTAACGTTCGTGCGTTCCCACTCGCTTCCCGTTCTTTCTTTACACGCGTATGCACTCTCTTTTCATGCTTAACATCTAACGTTCAGTATCCTAACACGTACAATTCGACATTTAGTATAATATTCGACATTTTAGGCATATGGCATTTTAGTTTTGACATTTACGAGCGGATCTCAATAGTAATAAATTTCACTCGTATTAATTAACATATGTTTAGGTAATTTATTTTAATTTAATGTTTCTTAACCATCCATCGCGCCTCGTTATCACGTTCATATTTATATTTGTAAATTGCAATTAGTTGCCTCGGTGAGCAGAAATGATAATCTCTTCGGGAATCCTGAACGCGGAAAAGAAACGATCGGTTTCTCCTCCTCCTTCTCTCTGCTGCGTATGAATTCCCGAGCGGGCGTAGAACAACAGCTCGGGATACTGTTAGATCACTCTTTGACGCAAATCTAACTGCGATTATGGTGATCTAGGTCGCCATTCGCGGCTTGTCACGCTAAGCGATTAACCCTTTCAATTCGAAATCATGTTCGTGTAGCTTGGGAAAGGAAATGTTTTACGATGCGTATACAGCATGCGTTGAAAGAATCTATATATAAGACCGGGAAGATTTAAAACATTTTGTAGCAAATAAGATTTCTGAATATTGATGTAAGAGTACGTTTATATACATCAAATCTTATTTTGTTAATCATAAGAAATATCAATTACGCAATGCGACACTTTAAAAAACATATTATATGTATATTAGATTGTAATTGAATTCGATATCGACATAAAGGATCGACGATGCGATCATGTGAGCTGCACATCTACGGAAGTCCGGGGACGCTCACGGTTTTTCTAACGTCCCTCTCACCCACGTTTAAGTAGAAAGCAGCATGTCATTAACGGGCGATCTGTATGCAAAGCCGATCCGTTTTCTAAGCCGCTGGAAATCGCGATAATGATATCGGCCTCGCCGTCAATATCTAGAGCGTAGTAGACGAGGCGGCAACGGAGTCTGAGAAGACTCCGAGAAGTCATTGCGGACGATGCAAAAATTTTCCTTCCGTACATAAGTAATGCCGCGACCAATGCCGACCGGTTATTCTCGCGATCAAGGTTCGATCAAGGCTCGAGCGTTGAAATTGCGAGCGTGGAAAACGTGGCAATCGGCAGCAATGATCATAATAATCGACAGTAAAATGATCTCCGTTATCTTTTGCGCGTTTATAAATAATGATTCTGATCTATACCGCGTTTTTTCTCAAACGCATTTTTAATGCTGAATTTCCTAAAGAGATTTTCTTTTAACGACACCTTTATCATTTTAGTTTTTAAATTAAAATAAAATCAAAGATAAAAATATAATACAAGAAAAATATGTTTATCTTTGATTTTTTTATTTTAATTCGCATTATACTATTTAAAAACTATATAAAATGATAAAGGTATCCAGACATAGGTATTACGTGTCCATTGCAGGCATTGGTATAGTATTGGTATACATTTACCTTAAGGGCTCTGAGAAGTTTGAGTGATTGATTCGAATGTGCTCTATAATTCGAGTGTTCTGTAATTAGATCTGACAACAATAACAATGACTGATCGATACGCCGTGGGAAAAAGTAGCTTAACTTTCTTGTCACGTGAATTAACGTGGATCGATTAGGAAGCGAGGCGAACTAACGAATCACACGAGGTAAGAAATGGAGAGTGAGCGAGTCGAGTATAACTGCGCGAGAGAAAAGTTATCCGCTCTGGTTAGTTTATCATTCGCTTCGAGAGACCGGTTTGGAATAAAGAAAGTCTTATATCTCTAAGATAGAAAGTAAAATACACTTGAAAAATTAGTGTACCATAAAATATTATTCGTAATAAAATGAGCACTCTGTTACGCAGAGAATGCATCGTATTATCAATTTTGATATAATTTAATGTTTCAAGTTAGCTCATAGTTTTTCTTTCGTTAGCTGTATACGTTATTCTGGCTCTCGACCAAGAAAGAATTCGGAAAACCCTGAACCGTGCTTTGGTACCGAGTTGGAAATAAGCCGGAAAGATCTTCCCCTTCGGGTTTATGCATCATAGATATCGCTATATCCGCTAGAAGGCCTCTAGAAAGACGCTAGTCTCCGGCTGATTATTTTTATGTAAGCTATACGGCGGTTTATTCTCGTCCGTTAGTCATGGAACGGCAACAGGCAGGCGACTGCAACAGGTGGCTCCGCCATGATGTTGCATACTGGTGCGTGCCTCCGCACTCGTGCAAGACAAATTGCGTTTCAGCGGCCTGTTGACGACCCGTTCTCGCAATCGCTACGAGGTCCGGCCTCGTGGTTAAAAACACTTCCATTTAATGACGTATCGGTACGCGTGATCTTAATTCCGTATCTAACGTTTGCGATGGAAGAAGACAGCAAGCGCGCGCGATACCGATAACCGAACTTCACGAACTTTACGTGGACGCGTCGTCTTTCTCTAAATTTAACTAATTCTATCCGATAGGACAAATGAAATTGTTTTTCTAAATTGCTCAACGACTTCGTCGACAATTAGTCTAATCTTAATTAACAGGCAAACGCAATTTTTCGCGTGCAATATTTCTCACCGAGCGTGTCTGTTCCGACGGTCCAGGGTGTGGCGGAAATCAGGTGCATCCATACACGCGCGCGGACGCTTCGTTGCGTCACTCGCACAACCGGCTTTATAATTATTGGGATTAATTGGTCGATTCAGAGCGTGCTGCAATCAAGCTGTATGTCTTCTTTAACCGCAAACTATACGATGATTAATGTTTTCTATTGATCTTTCAAGTGCCTCTCGGTCATTTATATTTTTCATCGAGACTGTTCGCGTGCAAAAACGTAACGATACTATAATTAAGTGTAATGAAGTATAGATATAAAAAGAGACACCCGGTTTGACCCGTGACAACTGGTTTCGAGGAGGTTTTCTCGTATATACTCCAACTCTTTTCACGCCATTCATCATTTCTCACGTCGACTCTGTCAGTTCGCCGGATTGCATTCAAGCGTGCCCGATGCAGATGTGCAAAGTTTATTTCGATAGCGTTATCGCCGCCCACTTGTGGAAAATTACAATACGACCTCGCGGGAAAGCCTCGACCTCGGTCCTCGCCTATTCGACTATTCGCTTCGCAACGATTGCCTTGTTCTTTCGCGATGGGCGAGCACACTCGGCAAATCGTGCGCTCCATCGCGTCTCGTTTCCAGAAATCGGCCGGAAGAAACGGAGCGGAAATATGTGTATTCGGATAGGTACGTCGTTCCTCTTTTAATTGCGGAATCGCGTGACGCGAGCGTCAGAAGGCACGATGCAAATGTTACAACCGCGTACGCGTAACGTTACGCAATACTATTTCAGTAAGATGAAAGGGTGAGATAGCGATTTGACTTTTCCACGAGAGAGCGAGCGATCGCTCGCGGCTAGAGCGCACCGAATGTATTCTATCGCTATACGCCGTGCAACTATGCAACGTCCCGTTCCCAGCAGCGTCTAACTGTTCACGCCATCATTCATCGCACGATGACGAAGAAGGCAGGAACGTATAGACACTTTACGTTCCTACATTCGTACGTACGTCGCTTTTCGAAGGTGGCTGATTAACGATTCTTAACTCATTGAACTCGCCTTAATGTTTGTCGTAGGATGTATTTTCTACCTTGCTATTGTTAGACAAAACACGTTTCACTCTGTAGATAAAATAGGAATTTAATTTAATTATTTTTAATAATATTCATTAATATTTCTAAATATTTTTAGTAACATTTCATTAATTAAATTTAATCATATTAGATCAGTAACTATTTAATAAGAAAGCTTCAAGGAGTGCGATATATCGGAATTCTAAAAAAAAATCGACCCCGCGTGCTGGAAGAAATGATGATAGTTCTCCGAAACGTGCATATACGTACAGTCCCGAAATGTCTCGAACCGGCTTTGATCGACGGCGAAAGCATAAGAGGTAGACGACCTTCCAGTTACGTTATCTTCCAACATAATGGTTGCGCTCGTCGATAACGAATGAGTCACGACCTCTCGTTAAGAATTTCGCTTGCACTCTGCGGGCAAGCAGCTGCCACACTTTTGACGGCGGAAAAGTGACGAGGCACAAATGAGGAGTTTACATTTTTACGCTTCGTTGAATTCGATCGACGTGAAACAACAACATGCGTGCAGAAAATACGTATATATATAGCGCGTGAAACATAAACCATAAACCTATATAATCCGCGCAATGTAATTGCTAAAGTACATGTAAGGAGTTACAAATATATAATTAAATTTAATTAAGTAAAAACTATATACTTATCAAATATGATACAGTAAATTTTATTACTATAAATAGAAACATAGATTATACAAATTAATTTTGTTATTACATCAAACTTCTCAATCTTTCTTTTTTATTAAAGTTTTTTATTGAACATGACGCAAATATTAATTTATTAATTAGTGCTTATGCTAATGTGACAGCAACACCTTATTTTACAGATACGGTGCTAGTGCAACAAATTGATTTTCTGGAAACGATTCTGGAGGAGACATCCGACGATCTCCAGAGCGACTCCGATCGCAGCGGAACGACATATTGGTTGGGGTCCGATTCGGAGACCGAGAGCGTCATCCATATCAAAACGAAGCAGAGATCAGCAGGTAAAAACTCCAATTATTAACAGATATACGCACATCGGTAATACAGTTGCGATATCATTTGATCGACGTTACACGGAAAAGTTGTGCACGTCGAGGACGATCTTGTGAAATCCCGTTCATCGCTCGGGGCGAAGATCGCGGGAGTTAGACATTGTTTACGCGCGCGGTCGTTCTACTTTCTCTTTCCTCCCGGCAGCCTAATCTTCCAGCTCATTAGCGAACCGGGAATTACGTCGGACATGCGATTATTCGGCGCACGATTACTCGCGCTTACGCCATCAAAATCGGGGAGGTCGATCACACTCGAGTATAAAATCTAATTTTTATCCTTACGCCTTGCTTTTTCGAAAAATCTGAATTGCACGAAGCAACGTGAATCGCAGTTTAATATGTATTACTGGCAAAAGCGGGAATCTGTGCAGCGAAAAGGCTATAAAATGAATTTTTAGAACAAAAAATATGACAAGTCTTATAGATTATATTACATTCGAAAATTTTACCATCATTCTTTTGCTGCATGAAATCGACGTTATCTTGAGATTTTCTAACTTTGAGTTATTATTAGCGTAATTTATCTTAAGCTAGTTTAAACAAAAGATCTATGGATTGTAAGTCAATAGTCCCCACCCACGTGCTCTTGAATGCGCGCCTTTGAACACGCAGCCGTTGTAACACTCAGCTACATGGTTGCAGTGCGTAGGGGCACTGCGTGTATATTTCTCTTACTACAATGGATATCTCGTGTTTAAGAACGTTTACATGACTTTCACTTGAAATCAATGCAGAAAATGGACAAATAAATTCTCGATCTCGAATTACAGCTTAACAGTTTAAAAAAAAAACGAAGGTCTGTCTATATATTTTTTTAGTCTTTCTAAGCCTTTCTAAGATGTAGACTGTTGGAATTCGATGAAACGACAAATATAACCAGCGGAATTATTTCCCAGCACGCGCACGACCTTTTGCTGCCGATGCAATATTCCTTCCAGTATAACTGTTTGCCGAGGAACGTATCACGCTCGATCGAAGTGTATGGGATATGTATCTAACTTATGTATTCCTTAATCGAGGAGTTATAAAGGTCAAACTGTGAACGGATACTCGTATATGCTTCAAAAGATCGTTTGATTACATGGCTCTTATCAAAAACGTAATTTAAAAATTTTTAATATAGATATTACAATTAAATACGCACATAGACATTTATTAATAAATTAATATATAATAAAAATCACTTTATATAAAACTGTGAAATAATACAAAGAATATAAAATAATAACTACAAAAAGCGTAAAAATCTAAGTAATTCAAATATTTATTATTTTAACTGAAAATAGTTTACATAATAGGTGATTAAATTCCGCATTTCGGCAAGATTTAACGCGAAATTGTAAGTAGCGATGCTCCTCGTGTACATCAAGACGACGTAATCGCACATGAACGTAACACTTGGATTGACGATAATCGATGCGGTTCGATTACGTATCGCACGCGACAATTACGACCTGGTTGACAACCGATGGTGACCAGGGCGTAATGCCGTAAGCACTGCTTCCGGTTGAATGAACCGTGACTTCCTGACGGACGTGTGCGTGTATATGCGTGTGTGAGTGTATGGGGCGAAAGTGGCGACCATTAGATTGGATCACTTCCGTGACTCGATTTTACGAAGTGGGTCGTCAAGCATCGGATTCCACCTCTAGCTATCCTAACGAGATTCGCGGAATTAAAAGCAACATGCGAGATCTGGATTCCGAGTAAAGTAGGTTTAGGCCGTGCGCGCGCTCGCTTGCCCGTCTCGCTTTTACTCTCTCGAGTCCTCGCGTGCCTCCCGCTATCGTCAGCGTCGTCATCCTCATCGCGTCGTCTTGTTCTCGGAAGACGAGCGGCTGGACGGCAGCGGCAGCGATTGCAACTCGGTGGTGCCGAAGAAGCGACGCCGTCGCGACCATGGCGCCGATCATCATCACCACCACCATCATCATCATCAGCAAGTAACGGCCTACGACGAGTACCCGGCGTCGCCGAGGTCCTCCAGGTCCACCGCCTCCTCCAGATCGAGCTCGCTGCTGCAGTTCGAATCCTTGGAGAGGACCTGCGCGACCCTGTCACCTTCCAGCTATAGTTTCGATTCCCTGGAGTATTCCAATCGGTCGAACGCCTCCCATCCGGAGAATGACTCGCCCGATAGCTTGGAGCAGGACTACGACAGGCTGCTACCGAACGGTTTTGCCAGCACCCTGGCGGACCATTTCCCGAGGATCAGGCCCTACCGCAGCTTCGAGAGCCTGGACACGTGCCAGAAGGACGAGGGTTTCGGCCAGGCGTCCATGTCGAACGGTTTCGCGCCTTTGTACCTGAAGAGGGGTGCTGATCTGTCGAATATTAGGAAAAACAACCAGCGTCCAAGGTAAATTACACTGTTCTTTATGTTAAACCTGGACTCTTTAGAATGACTAACAAATAAAGAATCTTGCACGTTGGAAAATCTCTATTTGAATCTTTAAAAATATATTGCGGTTTATCGCGATTATTCCTAATTTTTAATAGGTTCAACGAGAGTACAATTGATAACAGGACAGTACATGTTTCTTATTGAAGTTTCGATACATTATTCCTTACGTTATTCGAGGAATTTTCCCTGTTCGTGTGTACAATCATTCTAAACGTAACGCAGTTAGTCCACCCGCAATTCCGACAGACGCTACCAAGGTTTTTGTTTGTTATTCTTGGCATACGTGCACACGCGTCGTTTAACACGCCCGGCTATTTTTACACGCGCTGCTAGAATAGAGATACATGACTATTGTAATCATGGATTGTTTCCCGAATTAGTTTGCGAGGACTGGCGGTAAGTGCATTTCTGCGTATCGCGGGCATCCATAAGACAAACATTTTCATATTCCTTTATCGGCAAAATATTTGTTTTATATCAATTTTATTCTATCTTTCCAAGTTTTTTTCTTTGAATCTATCATAAAATAGAATTTAAATTTTAAACTCTTTAAACAAGATATTAAAATAAATTTATAACTAATATAGTTAATATATTTTTCTCGACAAGTTAATTATTGAAAAGATTGCATATCCGTCAAATTAAGCAGTTTTTTATATTTCAAATAATCAGAAAACATCAAGAAAGAATTAAACAATGTACATACGTGCGTTTGTGCGTTCAACACCCGTTCGTGCTGAGTGTTGAACGCTTCTTAATTTTCTTGGCACTCGTACGCCGAAATCCCCTCCGATGACGATCATTTTACGGCCAAGTTAAATGCAATCGCGACCCTGAGGAAGACCACCTTGACTTTACTGCCGATATTATAAACGTTTAAAACATAAGCGCGTTACCGAATCGCCAGATCACCGCCGTTTGGTTCTTAAGTGCGCAGTGTTTTGCATTCACGCATCCCTCAAGAATGCAGCTCGATTTTAATACAGGGACTCATATTACAAGCGTAAAATTTCAAATATAAATTTCAATATTTATACTGAATCCCGATATCTCGTCATTTGTACTGAACGAAAGATAGATTCTTCAATATTTCGATCATGTCCATTTACACGAAACAGAGATTTCTGGCACGAGGACGAGGAATATGAAGACGACGACGATGACGACGACGAAGAAGAGGAGGATGACGAGTACGATTTCGAAGAGTACGAACGAAGCCGAACGAACGCGGATTCCCGGTTGACGACCGGTTTCGAGGATCGGCTGCTGTTCGGCGAGTCCGGCAAGTACGCGACGTCCTTGGACTATCGGAACACGATCGACTTGCGGGAGATCGGCGTGGAGACGAAGAGGGACGCGCTTTTGGAACTCAAGTCCGGCCAGAAGACGGCTAGGTTAAATATAGCCGGTAGCGGTGTGGAGCATCATCATCACCACCACCATCATCATCATCATCAGCATCCGCAGCAGCAGCAGCAGCAGCAGCAGCAGAATTCGGAGCACCAGCAGCAGCAGTACCAACAGCAGCAGTACGATCAACACGATTACCATCACCACCACCACCGCCGCCAACAACAACACCAAGGGTGGAGCGACGAGGAGCACTTTAATTTTAGATTCACGGACAAGTCGCAGAGCGCGCCCAGTCTGCTTGACGGTGTCGAGGAGTCAGCACGCTGCACCTCGCCGTCTCGTCTTCGCACCTCGAGGACGACCTCCTACGTGTCGACATCTTCTCTCTTCGAGAATTACACGCGGGTGGCCAGCGTGCCGGTGGACTTGAATCTCTGCGGCGTCGCCGCTACGTGCGACGACGAGATGAACGGTCACGAAATGGCGGAGACCGCGCCCGGCGACGAGGCCGCGACTCTGAAGAGCTCGCTAGAAGAAGATACGATCCTAAAAGAAAACGATGAAACGCAAGTGGGAACGAAGGTCGTCTTGACCAGCTCGGTCAGGACGCAACCGGCCCAGGGCGCGCTCATGGACGGCGACATGAAGGAACGCGAGAAGGAAAACGAAGAACGAACGAAGGTCGAACGCGCGAGCGATCGTTGCGAGACGCGCAACAAACAAACGAAAACTACGTCGACGGTGAAGACTCAAGATCGCTCCAACTGTGTATTGGACATCGCGATGGTGACGGAGAACGATCTCGACGAAGCCATCAAGCAATTTAAGCGCGAGGTGGAGGAAGCGGCCGCCTCCGGAGTGGCGAACGCCGCCATTTTGGCGATGGAGACGATTCAACGAACTGCGTCCGGTCGAGTGAAGAGTCGAAAAGTGAAGAACAACGCCAGTTACGAGCTGGCGCAGCAACTCGAGGTGGACGAGAGAAATTTTCAGAAGAAATTGAAAGATAACGATGAAGAACGCGATGGTGCTAACTCCCCCGGGAAGAAACGGGTGCTGAACAACGCCAGCTACGAATTGGCGCAGCAGTGCGACTACATCAAGGCGTTGCAGAGCTCAAGAGCGGCGTTCCAGCGAATGGACGCGTGCGACGAATTAGAGGAAGCTGCATCCGGACGCTCCTCGAAGCTAAATGTCGCCGACGTGATGCGCCAAATGGGCTCTGACACGAACGTCAGCGAAGACTCCAAGCCGAAAGAGCCGCAGAACGACTCGTTCTTCGGTCAGATAAAAAAAAACTCGGATCCATTTTCAGCCTGTGGCGATGCTAGCGCGCTGAATCCACGGTTGTTAGACGACGAGGTAGATTATCCCTGCTTGGAAACCAAACCTATAGGAGCATCCTGCTTGGAAAATAGGGTCGTTTTACGCGAGAAGATCGAATCAGAGAAGTCAATCCCATTGAAAAGTGTCCTTGAAAATTCCTCGACGGTATCCTCCTACGTCGACGAGGAATCACCCATCAAACGAAACGAAGAAGAGACTGGAGACGCGAAGAAGACATTTATCGGCGAGTTTTATCCGGAACGCGTGGCGCAGCTTCCTCGGAAGTCTCCTGAGGCGGACGAGAGCGGGGTTCAAGAACGGAAAATAAACTCGGAGAACGCGTCGTCGGATCGGGACCACGAAGATCATTCTCGTAGTTCTGGCTCGAACGATCGAGGCGCCGGCGAGTGTCTGTGGAGGGTCGTGATCGAGAAGCAAGCGGTGACGAAGAAGGAAGAGGAGAAGGAGGAAGAGAAGAGGGACAGGATGGAGGCAGTGGAAAAGAAGGAGGTAGAGGAGGAGGGACACAGTGTCCGCGGTGTTGGCTCCGAGTCCCCACCCGGCGGTACGGGTTCACTCGGTGAACGTAGTAGTGGGAAGCCCGCGGTGGCCGTGGCGGCAGTTGATACGAATCATCGCGGTGGTGATCGCGACAAACGTCAGGGCGACGAGCAGCAACGCGCGCCGAGCATCAACAAGCCGGACGCGAGCGTCGCGAACGCGAAACGATCGTCGTCGTTTGTTGCCCCGAAGAGGGAGCCCGCGAGGACCTACGCGGTATCTTCAACCTCCCTACCGTCGTCCTCGTCCTCCGCCGCCATGAAGAGCGAGGAGAGAAAGAAGGGCGGTCTGGGCGGCTTTCTGCAGAGGTTCTCCAGGCTGAGGTTCAGCGGCAGGACGAAAGTGCCGCGCTCGGAGGCGCACAAGAAGACCGTCGAGCCGACGACGAGAACGCAGGAGGAGCAACAGCTGGCCACGGCCAAGAAGAAGGAGCCGGATTATATCATCATACCGTTGCACCCGCCAGAGGAAGAGAGGAGACGCCAGCAGGAGGTCGTTACTCTCGAGGAGGCCGCCAGGAGGAACAATGTGGACATTCAGAGAAGCGCCTCCAGTGTCAGGTAAGTCGTAAAATCAACTGGTATATGCTTGTGGAGGCGTTCCGTTAGATATTTGTTTATCTTACATTGAAAAAGGAATGTCGTTAGGTTACAACGGCATACATTAATTTCTGAAAAATTGCTGAAAGCTGCAGTGTCTCATCAAATTGCTGTTATGCTCATTCTATTTTTCAATAAATGAGATAATGAGATAATGAGATAATGATAAATATATATTCTTGACGCGGAATACTACCGCTACTTTGTCGTGTCTCGAGCTAGGATATTCGAAAGCAACAAGTTGGTTGCGCAGTATATAAATATGTAGAGAGATCTTGAATAACTTACGTGTTATCGAGGTTTTGTCATCGTTTTATTAGCAATGATGCATTTTTATGTGATATAATAACGATATAAAACGATCGTTCGTCATGTGCACGATATAATAATCTGTAATTAAAGTTTTTGAATGTACATCGTACATCAATCTCGAAGTTCAGTATTTACGTCGAAAACTTATTGTAAGTCACGTGTCTCGCTATCGATCATGTGTATTAGCCTCACGTTGAACTATCTTCGGATAGCGCCGATACTATCTTTTCTTTTTTACCACGGTTTTGCAACTTAACTTATTTGTCGAGAAAATTACTTTGATTGGGTATTCGAAATAATCTCTTCTATATATCTCGATGTAATTTTATTTGATGCCGTCGCTTCCACCGCTGTCCCACGCTAGCGTTAGCAAACCGCTTCATTCACAGTTTTGTTTAATTCCACTTTCATCTCGTCCCACACCATCGCTCGTCTGTCGCAATCGCTCGTCGACACGTTCGTTTCCTCCTCTCTCGAGGACTGTGTATGCTCGTTCGGTCGGGCCCGCGAGTCTAATTCCGCTCTCAGACTTCAGACACGCTTGCAGTGGCTCGCACTTCACCAATCGATGTAATTTCATTCTCTCGTACAAGAGCTCGCTACCCGACGACACCGACGATTCCCGCATCATTTCTGTTGTCTTACCGTAATCAGCGCGCTGGCCCGGTTCCGCGCCCAGCAGCGGTGCGGTGCGGCGACGGAAACCAGTTCGGTTCTCTTAATTAAATTTCACTCTCACCCCGCGTCTCGCCACGTCATTCTCGCGTAATGCGACCTAATTGCATTTTATAACACGACCCCTCTTTCCCGTCACCCTGCCTTTATTTCATATTTCTTGCCTTCCGCGTCTCGGTGCGTCTCCCTCTAGCTTCACGCATTGCCCGCATTTTTTTATTTGTAGAAAACGAGGAAATCATAAAATTAAAATAGTTCAATAATTTTTAAACACCCAAGAGATCTCTTTATGGATGGTAACCATAATTTCAATCGATAAGAATCACTCGTAATTTCTTCTCTCCAGCGTAGCCGCGAGTACTTTTATTGGCCTA